TGAACTTCTCCGCTAAATGTTCAGCATTTTTTTGGCAAAGACTGAACAAACGATTAGAAGTAAAGGCATACAGGAGTGGATTTACGGCACTGTTTACAAATGTTACAGAGGCGAAAGCGTTCCAGGTGTCCTCGCTAAACTTTAACAAGGATTTGTTATCGAGGGAAACAGCTGCAATCTCCACCACATTCATGGCACGATATGGTACCCACAGGACAAATACAGTCACTATGATGCTGGTAATCAGTCTGGTGGTCTGTGGATTGTTGAATAAGGCTGCTCGATTCAGCTTTCTGTAGAGACTGATGTATGAAAAAGCCATGACAGAAAATGACACAACTCCTATCAGGAGTCCTGTCAACACCACAGCTACCCTCTGACCCTTGGAGGAGTAGTGAGGTTTGCAACGTGTCCAGTGCTGATCTTTGTCCAGGCATCGAACCACTAAAGCGGGGATGGACAGGGTCATCGAAGCCAGCCAGAGAGGAGCCAGCAGCAACCTTGCTTTCACTAGATTTAAACTCCTCTGCAGGTGAACGACCTGAAGGAAACGCTGAACACTGAGCACAGTCACAGTCAGCAGACTGGCATAAATGCTGCAGTACCCAATGTACGTTATGAGCTTGCAGGCTGCCAAACTGAAGGTCCAGCCATAGAGAAAATAGTAAATCCACAGTGGAATGGTAACAAAGCAGAGCAGGTCTGACACAGCCAGATTCATCATCAAACTCTGGCTCAGACTGGACATGTTCTCCCAGTTTGGCTTAAGAACGATGACAGCGATGTTTCCAGGGAATCCCAGCAGAAAGCAGATGGACAGCACCACTACAGGAACAAGACTCCTGGAGTCCAAAGAAGGATGAGGTGAATCTCCAGGAGAGGAAGAGATGTTAGAAGTAACCATGGTGGAGTTGACTTGTGCCATGCTGGAAAGTTGGTGTGAGTGGCACACACTAATAATGATAAATGATGAAGGTGTTCACCTTTTGATGAATCAAAGGGGAACTAATAACAAGGAAACTGTGATGCTAATGCAAATGAGGATTAATCCCTTAATATCACATTGTCACAACAGATGGAACAACACCAAGGAAGTACAGATTTCACATGTATAAAGACTGAGAACTAATTTTCAGCGTTTACGTCATAGAACTGGATGTTTTCCACTTCCCTCGGAACTGGTCGGGCTTTTTTGACTTCATAGAAACAAAGGTTGAGAAAACATGAGAATAACACAATAACACAAGAATAAAATCTCTGCAGCAGCAACTAATAGGATAGGAATAAGGAGGAATTGCCTGCGGCAGAGTCTTTGTTGACATAAACAGCAGGGGTTAAAGAGCTGCACTGGACTCATGTCTAGAAACACTTTGATAGGTCGTTTGAAATACATTTAATACACACACACACACACACACACACACACACACACACACACACACACACACCCCACATAAACCTACACTCAAAGTTCCTCGAGGCTGATTTATATGTAAGAGCAATAAATGTTTATGTTTAAATACAGTTCTAAAAGAACGAAATAGCAACATAAACCGGAATCTGTGTCCACACGACTGCAACTTTGACCTCAAACGTGATGTCATCACTTGCTAAAAACACAAAAACCTTCGCGCTGCTGGGCTGGTTCATCCCTCTGCATGCCTGGTGCTGACTTTTTTTTTTTT